CCCACCCGAGGACATGCCCTTATTCTATCATCCCAGACTGCAACCACTACACCTACAACAATCTAGAGAAGACTCGCTAGTGCACAACGTACACAAATCAAACTAAGAATGAAACACGTGGTAACTAGTATCCTAGTTGAAAGGTTTAACTATTGCGAAGTAAAGTAACAGTAATTTAGCTAACACCAAAAGGGAAACAGTAAAACAGGAGGTACCAACTCCCGCTAACAAAACCTGTGGCTGTTTTACTGTGCTCGATGTAGTTGTACGCTCACGCCCACTTCCTACCACCCTTGCTGACACTCGCCCAGGTTGCTCTCCTTTGCCAGTGCTCGTGCACCCAACTTGTCTCCAATACTCCGAGAATTCCTGAAAACACAGAAATTACCACGACCCAAAAACCAGGAGGAGCTATCACCGCTACCACTGGTAAGCAAAGAGGCAGAGCAAAACGATTGCTCTTTTCAATTGAAATAGATGCACCACTGCAGAAATATTGCTCTCTTTCAATTTCAACGGAAATAGAGAACAAAGATTGCTCTTTCAGAACGTATAGCGGCGTGTGACTGTTATGGGTTCCAGAAAACCAGATCCCTTTTACAGAAGTGAACTGTAATGATACACAAAACCCAGGAAAATCTTGAACAAAAACAAGAAATGGAAGCCTAAGAATCACAGAACAAGAGTGATTTTCAGGGGAAAAAAACCTTGGTTTAGCTACTCTACGACCCGTTAGCTAATGTTAACATTCTGGGTACCTCCGTATATATCGCAAAGCTTGTTCCCAGAGATTCAACCTTTAAAGAGCAGCAAATACATAGAAAACGACCACTATTGTTATCGGCGAAGAACTCCAAGTTCTACCCTAAGCTCTTCAAACTCACGCCTAACTCTCTAACTACAAAAATCAAATAAGATCTGAAAATATAATAAGGGAAAACAGTAAGATTTGAAATAAAAGGAGCAGATCTGAAAGTAGCCAAGTAAAGGAGTGAGCGTGAAGTGAATTAAAAAGAAGCTCACCTAATTTTCAGCGAAGAACTCCAAAAATCCGAAAATGGAAAAGCTGGAAATCAAAACAAACAAAACCCACAAATCCCTTCCAAGTAGAAGATATTTTTACTACTAATCTGTGATATAGATGACTCAACAAATCTGTTATGTAAGTGTGAAATAGACAAATCTAAAAATTCTATGTGGATAAAGCACATCCATTAAGTACCCTGATGGTTGTGAGATTACTCGATATAAATAAAGATCCACTCCGACCTCATGAAAATAATGAAGAGCTTCTTGGTCCTAAAGTACCATATATTAATGCAATTGGTGCGCTAATATATCTTGCTAACACTAAAAGGCATGACGTAACTTTTTCAGTTAATGTCTTAGCAAGATATAGCTCCGCTCAAGGAGAAATTGGAATAAAATCAAGCACATATTGCGTTATCTAAGGGGGATTACCGATGTGGGCTTATTTTATGGCAATGATTGCAATACCGATCTTGTTGGTTATGTCGATGTGGAGTATTTATCTGACACACACAAG